CCGTTGCCAATTGTGCCCACATATCTATTCAGGGGACACCATCACAGGGCCTAATAACATCAGCCACACTATCAGAGGCTCGTTCACCTGCACATCCACCAATGTGATATATGCCATCATGTGCCAGCAATGCCCCTCTGCCATGTACATTGGTCAAACTGGACAGTCTCTACGTAAAAGAATAAATGGACACAAATCAGATGTCAAGAATTCTAACATTCATAAACCAGTCGGAGAACACTTCAATCTCTCTGGTCACGCAATCACAGACATGAAGGTCGCTATCTTACAACAAAAAAACTTCAAATCCAGACTCCAGCGAGAAACTGCTGAATTGGAATTCATTTGCAAATTGGATACTATTAATTTAGGCTTAAATAGAGACTGGGAGTGGCTAAGTCATTATGCAAGGTAGCCTGTTTCCTCTTGTTTTTTCCTACCCCCCCTCCCCCCAGATATTCTGGTTTAACTTGGATTTAAACTTGGAGAGTGGTCAGTTTAGATGAGCTATTACCAGCAGGAGAGTGAGTTTGTGTGTGTATGGGGGTGGGGGGGAAGTGAGAAAACCTGGATCTATGCAGGAAATAGCCCGACTTGATTATGTAAAGAGTTGTCACTTTGGATGGGCTAGCACCAGCAGGAGAGTGAATTTGTGTGGGGGGGTGGAGGGTGAGAAAACCTGGATTTGTGCTGGAAATGGCCCACCTGTTGATCACTTTAGATAAGCTATTACCAGCAGGACAGTGGGGTGGGAGGAGGTATTGTTTCATATTCTCTGTGTGTATATAAAGTCTGCTGCAGTTTCCACGGTACACATCTGATGAAGTGAGCTGTGGCTCACGAAAGCTCATGCTCAAATAAATTGGTTAGTCTCTAAGGTGCCACAAGTACTCCTTTTCTTTTTGTGACAGTTTGTGGCCCTGTGCTTAGGCTCAGGCCTTTGGCTAAGCAGCAGAGGCAGCCATAAGCTGGGAAGCGAACGGTCACATCCTCACATTCCAAACTAGTCACACTGAAATAAGGTGCTATTCGGCTGTTAGGAATACAATCCTGTCCTGATAGTTCCTATCACCTCCAGAGAAAGGGAAGTGCCTAGAAAATGTAAAAGGAAACTTAGTTTGATAGCATCCTGTCTGGCAAGAACTCACTTATCAATAGCTGGGATGTGAAATCCTCACTTCTGTATTGTCTTGTCATTATAGTTCCCACTTTGCTATTGTTTGTCTGTATAATCTCTGTCTGGTTCTGTGATTGTTCCTGTCTGCTGTATAATTAATTTTGCTGGGTGTAAACTAATTAAGGTGGTGGGATATAATTGGGTACATAATCATGTTACAATATGTTAGGATTGGTTAGTTAAATTTCAGGAAAATGATTGGTTAAGGTATAGCTAAGCAGAACTCAAGTTTTACTATATAATCTGTAGTCAATGAGGAAGTGAGTGGGTGGGGGTGGGCATGTGGGTGTGTGAGATGGGAACAGGGGTAAGAAAATTGGAATCATGTTTTGCTAAAGGGGGAAATGGGAACAGGGAATGGGAGTAAGGAAGTTGGAATCATGTTTGGCTAAGGGCAGGAATGGGAACAGGGACACAGGTGTAAGGCTCTGTGGTGTCAGAGCTGGGAAGGAGGATACTAAGGAAGGAAGCTGGAAGTTCACCACAATAAACATCGAATTGTTTGCACCTTTGGACTTCGGATATTGTTGCTCTCTGTTCATGTGAGAAGGACCAGGGAAGTAAGTGGGTGAAGGAATAAGCCCTCTAACACTGCTGATCTTTGTTTCCTTTGCTCGTATCTGTTGCTGTCACACTAAAGCAGGCTTTTTCCAGTGAGACTTATCTGCACATCATGACCAGATTGTGTGTGTGTGTTGGTGATGTGTGTGAAACAAAAATTATGTTAAAAGATCCAAATTTAGGTTTCAAAGTTAAGCACTTGAAAGTTGGGAATTGCCAGATTTATGGTTACCCATACCACCTTGTTTCTTTCCCCTTGTGCCCTACATGTGGCAGGGGTCATGTAGAAAAAGTAGCATGTGATCATGTAAGTAAAGACAATACCATAATGCATAAACACAAAGCAGCACTACAAGCTGGTCATTACCAGTTTCCCCTATAATGGAAACTTTAAATTTGTAAAAAGAAAAGGCGGACTTGTGGCACCTTAGAGACTAACCAATTTATCTGAGCATAAGCTTTCATGAGCTACAGCTCACTTAACTTCATCGGATGCATCCGATGAAGTGAGCTGTAGCTCACGAAAGCTTATGCTCAGATAAATTGGTTAGTCTCTAAGGTGCCACAAGTACTCCTTTTCTTTTTGAGAATACAGACTAATACGGCTGCTACTCTGAAACCTTTAAATTTGTAGTATTTATTTACATGTGTTTCTACCTGAAGTTCTCATAGTGCTTAGGGGTAAAATTCATCCATTCCTATGTAGATGGGCAACACAAGATCTATGCACCACGTAAATCCACTTCAAGTGTTATATTGGCCTGGGGCTGGTCTTCTATACAGGGCAGCATTTCACCCTTGGTCAGTTACAAGGTTAAGTATATGAGCATTAATCCAAATATGTACAACAAACCTTCACAATTCCAGTCAGAAAAAGTTCCACCCCATCAATCCCCTCTTTCCCAATCAAAGCTCTCCCTCACCCAGAAGCCTGGGGAAACAGATGAATCTTTAAAGGAACATTTAAAAGAGTAACTTCATTTTTATAGCCAAATAAAATTCATTCCTACAAAATCTGTATAGAAAACAGCTGTGCTGTTAACATAAATTTAACGTTATTCCATCTTGGCTCAGTCCTATAAGGTAGTCTTGCAATTAGTGCTCAGTACCTTGCAGAATCATGTCCATAATTAGATAGATGCCTTTATTTTAAAATCTAACTCTCTAACACTTCTTGGCTAAAATAGAACACTTTAGTTGACCGGATGAACTGTTTATAACTGTTGTCTTTTTAGTTCTCTTGGTTTTAGTTGGACATATATGTACAAAACTCTATAGGTGATTTCAGCCCTACTTGCAGAGGAGCTGCTGAAGATCTTCTGAAACATCTAAATTCTGTGTAAATACCTTAACTGGGGTTTAAGTGTCGTGTAAGACTTTGCACAGGCTCTCTGTCTTGAGGAGTGGGGACACAGAATATCTTCCTTGGAGAGTAATCATTAATCAGGTAAAATTACCATTAAAGACTTCAGAGTTTGGTCCCCAGGGAGAAATTCACTGGGTGTGCATATTTTTGAGGCCACACTCAGGCAGAATTCCCACTGAAACTAAAGGGAATTTTCCTGAATTAAGGAGTGTAGCCTGGGATCCAGGGTTTAGTATTACTGGAATAAATCTTCAGAAACAGGAAGAATGGTATAAAATGGAAAAAGCTGATTATCTCCAAAGTGGTTTAAAATGCCATGGGATAATTTAACAAAGGAGATCTGCTTTTTTTTTTTAAGTACATCTAAACAAAGAATATGCACCATGTGGACTTTGCTTTTTATCAGGCTTCAAAAACAAATCTCAGAATTGTTGCTCATGATTGTGAGTGTGTTTATTTATACACACAGTTACTGCAGGAGTCCTGGTTTACTTTCACTTCCAGGAAAAATGCCGTTTGTATTCCTAATGGAACACCACCGCTCTGTTTGCATTTCCCCCCTTCTAGTCATCACATTGTTTTATTTTAAACTGTATTATTTCCACTGAAAAACTGTAACCTGTTTTCTGCCAGGGTGTTTGAAACCATGGAGCTTTCATTTGTGGAGATTACCTTAAATCCATCTGAACAATAGACACCTGCTGTCCTTGTTTATCTTAATAATAAATATATGAGCTCTTTGTCTGGTACCAGCAAAACAGGTTTGTGAAACTTTCTAAAGGCAGCAGTCTGACATGTTGCTGTACATTAATAATATGGCCACATTATCTGAAAAAAAATCTATTGTTCCTTAGTAATTAAATTATTAACGATCCAGAAAATGTTTTCTAATTAGCAATGAAAAGGCAGTAGATAAGGCGATTACAGACTTCAGCAGCATCGTACCATTTACAGTTACTTTTTATTGGGATTCTCTGACAAAAAATTGCTTTGCAGTCATTTAATTTTGGCATAGTATTATATAGGACTTAAATCTATCACGTATTGAAAGTAAAGGAGAATCTCCATACGTCAATACTTAGCAATAAATCTACATAAGAACACATGGGAAAAATAATTTCCATATGTATCTTGTAATGAAACCATTGATTTGTGTTGCTGCAAAGATAGCTTGGATTACCATCACACACTAGACTCAGAGGTATCTTCTACCAAGTCCCAGAGGCCCTTTTGATGCCCATGTTTGTTGGTCCCTAATTGGCCATTCCAGCCATTGATGAATGACTAGAGGCATCATACCATGTGCTGGTCATACTGCCTGCACAGCACTCTCAGCCCCTGCTAAGAGGGAGTGAGAAAGTGGGCTTTGGAATAGAATCCAGGTGCCCTATGTGGCAATGCAAAGCTAGCAGTCTAGCCTTAGAGCTCACTGTATTTTTGTGTATTTTTATATTTCTCCCAATATAGCTTCCTTTCTTATACTGAAACAACAAGGAGTCTGGTGGCACCTTAAAGACTAACAGATGTATTTATACTGAACACACTCAAGCAGAGATGATAAAAAGTGTGTATTAATTCTGCTTCATGAATTGGTTATTATGGTAGAAAGCAGTGGCATTTCTACTCAAAGGACCAAGTCAACTACAAGACACAACTGTGGTGAAATTCTGACCTTATTGAAGTAAGTGGCAAAACTCCCTTTGACTTCACTATTGCCAAGATTTCACCCCTCGTCTCTACCCTCTTGCTGAGGACAGGGAAGTTCAAAATATCAAGACAGTGTACTGATTCGTCACCTGGCTTGCACTCCAGTTGCTTGGTTCCCTTTAGGTTGGTACTGTGTTTATGTGTTATACTAGATCAGTATTTGTTATGTTATACATTTTATGTTCTTACCTACAGAAGTAATGATCACTGTGAAATGAGTTTCGTCCCGTTTTCCAGTCACATTGTTGTAAGCACAGCACATATAATCTACTGTTGTCTGGGCCACTTTTTCAGATACAACTTCCAGATGGGGTCCATATTTGATAACGTCTGTAGTATTGTCAGCCCTTCGGATCCAGGAGTAAGTATTTGGTGGATTTGAGTCTGCCGAGCAATCAAATAGGATAGCTTCTCCTATGTCAACCGTAAACACCTCCCCTACTTTCAGCCCTTTATCTGAATTAACTGTAAGTCCGTAAGGTCCATCTGCATTAATATGAACAACAAAAATGATCATAATGGAAAAAATTAAAATCAAAGAATAACCCTCAAAAATTCCAAGGATAAGTACAGCCTTAACCTTTCAAATGGCTGCCATTAGGTTCAATTATTCTGATTAAAAGGCTTCCAATTCATTTAATCTGTCCTTATTTAGATAGATTTGTAACAGTCTTATCACAAAAAGAAAAGGAGTACTTGTGGCACCTTAGAGACTAACAAATTTATTTGAGCATAAGCTTTCGTGAGCTACAGCTCACTTCATCTGATGTCCGATAATAAATAATAAATAAATTTGTTAGTCTCTAAGGTGCCACAAGTACTCCTTTTCTTTTTGTGGATACAGACTAACACGGCTGCTACTCTGCAACCAGTCTTATCACAGAAAACACCCACGTAATATTGATCTGTTTGGGTGAAATTCACCCAGACACTCAGCACCCAAGCAATGTTTAAAGCCCTCAAAAAAACCGTAGTGGGACTGAAGCAGCATAGGTAATGTAGTGTAATGAAGCAGTAGGCCTTCTTCTGGCTGTCTGTACAAGGGTGAACTAGACTCTTTCTACTTTAATGCCAAGGTTACTGGCATAGCTTATCTGTGTTTACACATAAAGATCAGTAAAATTGCACTGAAATATACCTATGTAAATTAGTATTTACCACACAATACTTGCTTATGGAACTATCCTCCCCTTAGTAAGACATAGCATGGTGTGTCTTACATAACTTCAGACAGTTGTTTTTCACAAATGATCCTTAAAGCACGTTAACCTTCCTCTCATCCCCCTGACTTTTGCTGTGTTCACCGTTTAGTTCCTGGGTTTCCATTCTTAGTGAGCTTTCCCCTGGGCAAGGAGAGTTTTCCAGGAACCCAGCATAGGCACCTTTTCAGGGATCAGAAGACCATAGAGCTTTTTTTGTTATTGGGTCAGGCTCAAAGACAACTTCTTCTTTAAATGCAAAGCAAAACATTCAAAATCTACTAATTTTAAGAATGAACTTGCTTTTTTGCTTTTTGAAACCATTCAGTAGTTCTCACCCAACCCATTACTCTCACTGCCTTGGGCTTTACATTCTCCCAAACATAGTTTCCATTTAAAGGCCCTTGTCCCCCTTGCTCCATTTGGAGATTGTCAGAAGCAGAGGAATCAGAAACCTCTGTCTAGGTCTAAATTTGTTCTAATAGTTTCTCACAAGCCCAGAAGAAGGAAATCTCAATTTATAGAGCCCTGCACGGATACAAAATTTCTATCCACATCTGATCCGTAAACATGGTCTGTGGATATTTGTGGATATAAAGTGGATATCTGCAAATTTGCAGGGCTCTACCAGTTGATCTCTTGAACTCAGATTTCCCACATAGGTCAGCAGTTTCTGCTGCAGCAGCCACACCACCAGACTAATAAATTCTCTCCCATTGTTGTATAGATTTATTTCTGAATGAAGCTATTTATCTGTTAAGTGCTTTGTGATGTATTATTATTACAATTAATAGACAAATCAAATAATGCTAATGAATAGGGATGATCAAAATAAAGAACCTTTTTAATTCTGAGTGCAACAGCAGAATAATTCCTTCCTGGGATCCTACATTCTCCACTTCTCTTTTCCAGTATCGTTCTCAGCAGAAATGAGTCTCATGTTTCAGTGAAGCCTGTTTACTAAATGACTTGTAAAATAATAAATCACCTGTTCTTAGTAACAATTTACTACTCTGTGGGAACACTTCCAATTGCTCATATCACCATGAGACTGTTATCCATCTAGTTTCTGAGCAGATGGCAGGTATTTACCGTGAGTGACCTTTTTTATCACACACAGTAACTCCCCCGCAGCAATGGCATATGGTGCATATAGACCCTGAGGCCTGTACTGGATTGTTATTGACAACTGCTAACTCAAACACAAAAATTTTGTGAACTACTGGCAGAGAGGGGTTAATCTGAATTACCTGACTTGAAAACATAACTCACTGAGTTTGACCGCTAATTAGGGCATGGGAAGTAGTACAAGAATATTGGTCTTTCTTAGCCATTGGCTCAAGTTTTAGAATTTTGCAAAATCTTATCTCAGCAGAGCAAAAATAAAATCAAGTTTTTGGTAAATGAAAATTTTTCATAACATGCTTAGTAATGTTTTTGAGAAAAGCTGGAAAACAAAGTATTTTTAAAACAGAAAAAAAATCAGCTAATAAAAAATAAATCTCTTTCAAACACTTTGACATAAAGTCACTTTGGAATTTCATTTTTTTTTCATGAAAATCAGTTTTTATTTTTCAACCAGCTCTCACACGGACAAGAGAACCAAGATGCCACCTGATTCTGAAATAAACCCCAGCATATAGGAAAGTGCTGCATGGATGATATTTTACATCCACAGAACATTAAAGCCCATGACTCATTGAACTGGTGTTATTGCATTGGTGTAGGAAGGTTGTCAGGACATCCCTAGATATAGTGGTTCTGAGCCTTGTCCCAGTGTTTTGTTATCTCTCTGTTCAATGTGTATGTACCATTCATTTCTCATCAAGGTCCGAAAAGTGGTATGGGCAACCCTTTCAGAAGTACAGGCACAGGCAAAGTGCACAGTGGAGATAAATAGACAAGCTGTTTTTTCCCCCTCAGAACAGAAATTATTAAAGAGCCAGGATTGGTTCTTTGTCTTTACAGCCTACCACCATGGGTACTCCACTTGGTGTGTGAGGAAGCTCTATTCCTCCATAATGGAACAGCTACCTCCAGCTCCTTCATCTTCATCTCAAAGAAGTGTAAGTGCCTTTTGTCAGGTTCAAAATGTAATTGCTCTAATATTTTGGTTGGGGTTTAGCTAGAGTGATGTTTCCCATAACTCATTTCATCCATAAACTCCATATTTGATTAACTTTACTAGTTTTCTCATGCTGTTTTGGAATATGCATCCAACACCTTGAAAATCAGTGGGTTTGCTTAGACTCAGTTTAAACGTTTTTTTTAGTAGAACATTTCATAGCAGGATCCTTTATCAGTCATAGTTTTGCCATTATCTAATCAACTGCATAACTTTAGTGCATTATTCCTTGTCCAACATGATCTGTTGTCTTTTTTTGTCACACCATTACAGGTATACTCTAGGCCCTGATCCTGCTAATATGCACATGCTTAATGTTTATGCACATGAACATTCCCTTTCAGTCAAAGGGGATTACTCACAGGCATAAAGTTAAGCATGTTTATTTGCAGCATCAGAAACCTTGAGTGTTAGACCTTCAGGAGAGGGACTTTGGGCCTGAAACTTTGTTCATTTACACCAGTGTAAATCAGGAGTTATGCCTTTAATGTCAGTGGAGTTACATCAGTGTGAAAGTAATGTAAGTTAAATCAGAATCAAGTCTCTTGATTTTTTTACATATGCTTGTGAAGCACCATGCACATCAATAATGCTATAGACATAGTAAAAGGTAACGATAACTATTAGAGATGGTCTGAACCAAAACCTGAGATTCAAACACCGATGAACTTTGTGGGAGCTAGCCCCTCTTATTATAATGGGCTGAGCAAAACCCATCGATTTGAAGAACTCTGCACTTTGAAATCCCAACCTCAATCCTGCAGCTCAAGCTGATCTTTAACAACTACATAAAGTTTAGCAAGTTCTACATTATATTCTCATGGAGAGGGTATAGATGGACTGTTAAAGACCAATCTACCATGAGTGAAAGCCAAAATATAAACTTGAATCAACTGCTTTGTGCCCATTCCATTGTCAGAGGCTCTCTCTCCAGGAAGCTCATTTAGAGAAAAGTATGCACAAATATTTTATATACTCACAAAATATAGTTGGTGCAATTATCTCACTTTCCATTGTGCTCACAGGATTGGTTGCCAAACAGCTGTAATTCCCAATGTCTTCTTTCATGACAGGGACAATTAAAAGTGTGTCATGGTTTGAGGAAAAGGTGTAACTAGAACTGGCATGCATAGGTTTCCCATTTTTCATCCACTGGTAACCTACCCTTGTACCTTTTCTAACAGTACAGGTTAACGTCATGTTCCCCACATACTCCACTACTCCCGAAGAAGGTTCGATTTGTACAACTGGCTTTGTGACAGGAACTGTAAGTTAAACAGATATGAACAGTTATAAACAAGATTTGCCATTTATATTAGGAGAATATGTCATTTACTGCCCAGGTGATATAAATGGCATTTGTCATCCTTTTAAGAAAGTACTTAGATTTCAAATTTTATACTGCTAAAAATGAAAAACAAAGGGTCCTATCCTTAGCTGGTCCAAATGGGCATACTTCCAGTAACTTCACTAGAGCTAGGATGACTTACACTAGCTGAGGTTATGACACAATAGCTGGAAACAAATATTCCATTTTAATTAAAAGAATTAATCAAGTTCATGCTGCATGCATTTTTCCATTTCCTGCTCTTCTTTCTCTGTGCATGTATAACTCCCACTCACATGAATGGAAGCTACATATGTAGGAGAAGAACAGATCCATATTCATATCTACCTATTGATCTAGAGGAAATGAACCACTTGATGAAAGTGAACCACATGAGCCTCTATTTAGGGCCAAACTTGCCCCCCAAACCTTATTATCTTCTTTGTTGGGTTTTGGGCCACCTGCCTACCACCCTCCAGACAGCATGAAATCCTAAGCAGGCAGCTGCCTCCAGAATTTTCTCAAAGTCAGGTTCCAGGTACAGAAAAAAGCTCATGCAAAAGTGAATGTAGGCTCAAGGTGAGTAAGGGTGGCAGAACTGGGCCTTATGAAAACAGATTATTTCTTGAGATCACTATAGTTCATTTAATTTCATAGTAGTTATATGATGCCTACAAACCCAGTTTAATATACTCCCAGGATTAATAAGGCACCAATCAATAAATAAAATTTGTTGAATAATTAACCATTGCAGGTTTGAAAATAAGCATAAAATGACTTGAGTGAGTTGATTTATTCATACACAGCCAGACTGAAGCACACAGAACTGTATCTGGATTCCAGGTGATTAGAAACTTCACAAAAGTTGTAATTTTATTTGCAGCACTAAAATATGGTATTTTATTGACTTACCATCAACAGTGACTTGAATCTTTTGATTGGCTGATATTGTCCCATTTCCATGGACATTGACTTTTACAATGTAATTGCCTTCATCAGTGACATGTAATGGATTGATCATCAAAGATGCATTAGGTGGTATGAGGGTAAACTTGTGTTTATATTCCAGGTCTGGTACTACTGACTGATTCACAGAGCCAAGTAAATATTTGGGGATACTCTGAGGTTTCTCAAATAGCCATATTATCTGGATTTCAGAAGCTGTAGTGTTGAAATTGTAGTCAACTGTAAGATGGAGTGGTTGTCCTTCAATGCCATGTATAGTATGTGATGGTACCGTCAGCCTTAGCGCAGAACAAATGCCTGCATAAAAATGGAAAGAAAACAAAACTAGGAACACTGGAAATTCTAAATGGAAACTCTTATGGAGCTGTGGTTGTTGTGTTCTCAAAATGGTCCTGATCCAACTCCCACTGATGCAAATAGTAAGACTGGTATTGACATCAGCTGGAGTTGGATCAGATTTATAGCCTGATTTTCAAACCATTTCTCCTATCTTTTACAAAATAACACTGATTTGCCTTAAATTAGATGTCACTTTTCATCCTAAGCTAGGATATTTTTTAAAAGTTTGACAAAACTTAGAAATGGAGTTCTAAGGTTATTGTGTTTGTAATAATTTCCTTTGTTGAAAATGTTCCAAATATTTGTGAGACAAAGTGGGTGAGACAATATCTTTTATTGGACCAAATTGTTTCGATGAGTGAGAGAAGCTTTTGAGCTTACGCAGTGCTCTTCTTCAAGTCTGGGAAAGTAAGGGCAGGTCTACACTTAAAACACTGCATTGGTGCTTAAGAGCTCTCCTGTCAGTGCAGTAAATTCACCTCTGCAAGAGGTGGGAGACGCCCTGCTGTCGACATAGCGCTGTCTACATGGGGTTTAAGGTTGGTATAACTATATCGCTCAGGGGTGTGCATTTTCCACATCCCTGAGTGACACAGTTATACCAATATAGGTCTGTAGTGTAGACCTGGCCTAACTCAAAGTGTAACTGCTAAATACAAGATTTGAACAGATTGTTTTGTAGGAGTAGTTAACGCATATTTCAAGGGACGATTCAAGGTGAAGTGGTTTCCTCCAGTCATAGGGAGGAAAGGGAGGGGGAGAGAGCAGCTGGGAGGGGTTGTTAGTGGGTTATAGACTGTTGTAATAAACCATAAATCCAGTATTTTGATTCAGTCCATGATTTTTAGTGTCTAACAAAGTTATGGCTATAGGTTCCCAAGCTCATCTTTTCAAAGTGTTGTGCAGGTTTCCTTTGACAATGAGGACTGATAGGTCAGATAGAGAGTGATTGTTTTTTGAACAATGATGAGGTGTTTTTGTCTTTTATCATTTTTCTGTTTGTATTCATTTGAGAGTTTAGTGATAGTTGCTATTGCTATTGGGGCATTTAGTGCACTGGATGAGGTACATCACATGTTGTGATAGGCATGTGTAGGACCCATGGATCTTGAAAGATGTGTTGGGAGGGGGTGTTGATCATTGTAGCAGTGAAGATATGTCTGCAGGTTTTGCGTCTGTTGTTCTGGCAGCATCTGGTGCTGCTTTGAGTTGGTGTGTCCTGATCTATAGGGAGCTTTCTTCTGATGATGGGCTTGGAGAGGTTGGTTGAAGGCCAGAAGTGAGGGCTCAGGAAAAATTTCTTTCAGGATGAGGTCACCATCAAGAATCGGTTTTAGTTGTCTCGTGATAACCCATATGGGTTCCACTGTGGTGTGGTAGGTGACAACTAGGGGTGTGTGATTAGAGGGGATTTTATATCTGCATTGAAGCAGGTTCTCTCAGGGTATTTGGGTGGCCTTCACCAAGCAAGGACACTCCCTGGGACACTCATGTGGTGGTCAGCAGGGTTAGAACATTTAGATCCGCCAGAGAGCTATGCATCCACCTCTGCCACTTGAGCTAAAGAAGTACCTGATAGCAGTAGTAGGTTGTCATCCTCTCTGTGGATCAGCACTAGAGGTGATGAGACACTTTGTCAGTGGGTTTCACAGGCAGTGGCTAACTGCAGAGGAATGGTGAGCTCAGGAATCTTGGATTCCATTCCTGGCTCTGGAGGGGAGTGTGCTCTGGGGGCACACACTCTTCTGCCCATTTCCCTCAAGCTTGATCCCTTCTGCCCCTTTCCTTCCAACCTGTGGCTGCCTCAGTCCTGTCTCTTTCTCACCCTGGCTTCTTGTCCCCATCCCATTCCCCTAGGGTTACCATATTTGAACATTAAAAAAAGAGGACACTCCACGGGGGGGGGGGGTAGGGTATTTGCTCACGTTCCCCTGCCCCGCCCCAACTCCACCCCTTCCCTGCCCCATTGGACCCCTTCCCCAAATCCCCACCCTGGCCCCACCTCCTCCCCTGAGCGCACCACATTCCCCCATCTCCCTCCCAGCCACATGAAACAGCTGTTTTGCGGCGCAAGCACTGGGAGCAAGGGGGGAAAAGCAGGCACTCTCTTTCTTGAATGATCAACTCTTCTTTGGGGAAAAATAATAATGGCAAAATCCCGGACGTTTTTAGATATCTAAAAATTCCTCCCGGATGGCAATTTAAGAACCAAAAAGGCAGACATGTCTGGGAAAATACGGACGTATGGTAACCCTACATTCCCCTCACCTAGCCATTCCCAGTCTCTACTCCTCAGACTCCTCATCCCCCCACTGGGTGGGAGGTGTGTGTTTACCCTGAGAAGTGGAAGATTGCTCCAAAGGCCATCCCCACAACTGGGTTATAAAGACTTTTTATGTAGAACAAAGGAAAATAAGAGACTTCTGAGTGAAAAATCCTTTTAGTATTGGAGTACAAAGAGAGGCAGGGACAGAGATAACAGGTGATCTTTAACTTGTCCACAGTTAATTCATGGAGAAAAGTGGCTCCTTACATCAGTTTGTGGAACACTGAGCCACAGTTGAGGAATACCCATTAGCAAAGCAGAGAGGAGATTAAGGAGACAAGATTTGTTTTCACTTTCAAGACAAAGGGCTGCAGGAAGATAGTCTGTTAGGGTGGGGCTCTCACAGGCTAAATGCAAAGTTTACTGTTCTCTCAAAGTATGCTCTGATGATTTGATCAGGTGTGGGAACAGTGTGTGGGAACTTCTGCATGGTCATGGGGAAGTGAGGACTGGAGAAGTTATCAGACAAGTTGTTTTGCCAAAGATTAATGTTTTATGGGAGCAATGCTGGGTGACTCTTGGCTTCGTAAAAATAGAGATCAACACTTCATCAGAGTACAGTCTGAAATATTAGAGCCATTTCAAACATTTATACTTCTAATTAAATTAAAGCAACAGAATCTTCTTATGATCAAACTTTACATTGTTGTTACCCTGTCATATTCAAAGAGCTACTAAATATTATGTTGAATTGAAGTCAATGGACCAAATCTTTATTAATTTCTTATTGATGTTCCCATCAGGCAAAAGTCCCATTAAGTCTGCAGTTAACATGTCCCCAAAGATTCAAGTGACATTTTGTTTGACCTTTTGTTGAAGATAGGTTTCTAAATTACTTAGGCATTTTTGGAAGTTTTGCCTAAGTTCCATTAAAAGCCAGTGGGAATTCAGTTCCTAAGTCACTTTGATGCTTACTCATCACTTATATTGGGTGAATCCCAGGAATAATATACTATTGTTCACAATAATGATGGTATGTTTGATCGGTGAAATACCTCCAGTGTGGAAAAATGGTCCTCCAGGGGCTTGGAGTTACAGTACTAAATATGGAAGTTGGCCAAGATTTTAAAAAATTGCTTAAGTTCAGGCTTCTAAATCCCTTCAATTAATAAGTGGTACTTAAATAGATGGCCTGAGTTTCAAAAGTGTTGAAGCTCTGAATAGCTACTATTAAAGTCAATTGGATTGCTGGATACTCGGCATTTTTAAAAACCAGGCTACTTATTTTATAGGGTACATCTATACTACAGCTGGGTGGTGTAATTCCCAGCGTGGGTAGACACACACATGCTGTCTTTGCTTGAGTGAGCACTTAAAAACAACAGCATGGCCATAGCAGCACAGATGATGGCTCAGGCTAACCACCCATGTATGTCCCTCGAGGGGGGTCAGGCAGGATTGTATTCAGGTGAGTAGCCCAAATCACTGCTTGTGCTGCCATGGCAATACTGCTATTTTTAGGTGCTAGCTTGAGCAGAGCTAGCCCATGTAAGTCTACCTGAGCTGGAAATTACATGTCCCAGCTACTGCGTAGATCTAGCCATAGACACCTAAAGCTGACTTAAAGCCTGACGTTAAGGAAACATTTTTGAAAATCTTGGTTGTCTGTTTAATCAGTCACTAGCATACAGTAGTTTTAATTTTGTTCCTGCCTGTAATATGGAAGATATCTTTATGAAACTCCTGGAATGCATCATAAAATGTAGATGGATAAAAGGAAATATTTTTAAAATGTCCTTGTTCTACAGAGCCACGAAATTTTACCTCATGCAGTAATCAAGAATATTCCAAACTTAAACATATTGCTATGTATAGCTTGCTAAATAATGCATGCATTTTCCCAGCAACTGAGACCTCTTAAAACCAGCTTTTCTGTATTGACTGTAAACACGTTCGGTTTTACCAAAGTGACCTCTAGCTGGAACTCAAAGCAATCTATGTTTTGCTTCCATATCACTATTCAAAGTATTAGCAAGCACAACAGAATCATTGTTGACAGAAAACAAAGTATGCAGCTTTAGTTTAAATAAAAACCATGACTTCATATTCTGAGTTGACTGCATAAACAGAAACGTACCTAGGGAGGTTTCATTGTTCTCTGGATTCTAAAGCACTAATCACTTTATCATCATAAAAAAAACTAGGTCTGTTTCTCAACTGCTTTGCATCCTGTGCAAAGTGTGAGTAAAAGGCTACCAGTTCTCAATGGATCATTTTTACACCCATTCTGCAAAAATGTAAATGCATTTACGTGGTGCAAAGCAGTGGAGTGTCAGATCCCTAGCATTTATGATGCCAGGAGTGCACACACATTCATAAATCCATAGATTCCAAGACCAGAAGAAAAAATTATGATCATCTAGTATGACCTTGTGTACAGCACGAGCCATAGAACTTCCCCAAAATAATTCTGAGCACATATATTTTAGAAAAACATCCAGATGCTTGGTCATTTGGGTCAGAGAGAGTGAGAGCACATTGTTTACACATTCTGTTTATAGGGCCAAATTCTGCAGATTCTGCCAAATTCCTAGAGCAAAATGTCTTTTGACTTCCATAGGAGTTTGGCTTGACTAGTATCTGAGCCAAAGCCCACTAAAGTAATTGGAAAGGCTGACATGCTATTCGGTGGGCTTTGGATCATGGCCTCCAGGGCAGGAAAATTTGACCCTTGTACTGATAAAAAAGGCAATTAACATATGAGGAAGCTTATAAAGGTCTGTATCTGAGACTGTATGGTATGTATTAATTCAGATAGAACAGCAAATAAGAAATATCAGCTTTTTGTATTCATCTAAAATATGGGTGTTATTTTAAAAAACTCAAACCAATAATCTTAATTTTGGTGGCGAATGGTACTGGAAGAGCAGAGCTTTGTGGGTACAAATCTGCAGACCTGACACAAACTCTCCTTCACTCCAAATGCTGACTGATGAAATCTAGCAAAATAGTCTACAGTATATTGAGTTCACAAAGATATAGGAAAGCAATGTAAAGCAAATATCCCTTACATTTAGATTACATGAAGATACAATACTCTTGTAATGTTACATATTCCTTCCGCTGGAATCACATAAACATCTAAATAAAGCAGAAGTTAATTCTAAAAAAAAAGCTGTAGAAGAATTGTTGGAGAGATTAAAGTAGAATTTTATCTAATATCTAATCACAACAGACTCTTATGGAAGTACATTGGATATCCAATTTTATCCAAAATGCATGGCTGACAAATATCTGCTTATAAAAGTAACACCCAAGATACTAAACAGAATTTATTACTAACGCTAATACATTCTCCAGTTCACCAAGTGACAAAGTTAGTGCTTTTGGTAGTGGTTGTTACAAACCTCTTCAGCTTTAATAGCAAAAATATTTTATTTTCCTTTTATGCCAAAAATAAAATCATACTTATGCTAAATGGTGAATATTAGAAAAAAAAAAGAATCCTATTCTTTAGGATGTAAAACCTAAGAGTGCAAAAAAAGTCAAACTACAAGATATTTCCTTGAGATCCAATTTTCTGTGAAATCTTTCCCTCAGATTACCTGGGGAGGATTTTTTTTTTTTTTTTGGGTCAGGAACTTCCCTAATCAAAATATCATGCCAAAATATGTTTAAATTATACAGTCTCAATTTTAAATATTTACAATCAAGTATTATATGGAGGGATTAAAAACACAATACCTTCACTGTCAAGCAAAATAAAGCCACTTTCCAAACATGTTTTTGAACAGATAATAGCAACAACTGCCATGCTAAACCTTGACCTCACCCTGCTAACCTTTACTCATGGTAAATCCTTACTCAAATTAGTAAAGGTTTGCAAGATTGGTCCTAGTGAGAGCTAATTATTTTCATCTTTGTGGTGCAGTCATTAAAAAGAAAGTATAATGTATTGTACAGTATTTAGTCTACAGACTTTCTGCTTTTCTTACTAAAACAAGATCTACTATTGGGTTACAAACTTCTAGGCTGATTTAAAAAAAATCTGACAATTTAACATAGAAATTCCATTAATTTTTTTAAGTATTAAAAATGAACCATATATCCAGAATGAAAAATCAACAGCCATAATAATACATACTGTATCTTACCTAAAAGCAGAAAATATATATTGCACTGTAAGTCACAAAATGTGTTGCTAAAGGGCTCCATGAAAGCATCCTGTCCTATGCAAATATCACCTTCTTCTCCGTGCTAAGTCAGTGCTTGGTCCAGCAGCTGCTGGTTTATTTGCCAGGGAAATCAGCAATGAGTTAACAGACCCTATCCTGTCTACTGCCTTGTGTGATTTGAATATGTGTATACCAAGGACACAGGGAGTGGGAACACCTGTTAGCTTAATACGCAACATCTTCATTGCGTGTGACTCTATCATAATATTGCCCTGGTATATTCACAGCAAATATGGAGTATGATAAATGGGGTACAGAGTATGAATCACTCTGCTTCAATAAAAATTAATGTGAGTAAAATTTATATAGGTATTTATGCCATATTTTGTTAGTTACAGTAAAAAAACACAGACTGGCTAGATACATATGCTAACTTCAGATAAGAATCTTGTAGTCAGATATGGAAAAGATCTGTTAGATCATCCCACTGAGCCCCTTGCAATGGTAGGATCTCTGCTGTCCACTGCCATATGGGATATTAAACACCTTTTTACAATGGATCTCAGCCAAAAAGGCAAATGAAAAATTCATACAAAAGAGTTAAGATTGTAGATAGACCTATTGTAAAATGCACTCTTCCAAACAATTGTTGCTCTGCAGTTATCTTTGTATTTCCCTTAAAATATTACAGAATAATGCTTATTTTGGGATGGCCTTATTCCCTGAGTTTTTTTTATCCCTTTCTGAGCCTCGGGTGTGTGAAGTCTTGGTTGGGTGTCTACAAGGTATATCCTAACAAAGAATCCTCTGTCCAAAGTGTGAATCTTACTCAGACTGCCAAGCTAGCGGCCAGTCAATATGTGTTCTGCATTAATTTATTGCATCTTAAATTAATGCTCATATACAATCTGGATTTTATCCAAGGCTGTCACTCACTGTGCAAGTCTAATCAGCCGCAAACCAAGGAAACCCCCTTTCTGCCCTCCTTCCATGTGCAATAATTTCCAACAGCAAATATTTACACCTACATAGGTGGTTATAAAAATATTAAGTTTTCATTAGATAGCACTTTGGCAGACACAAATAAATCTCTCAAATATTGGGTAGGTTGTGCCCTGCCTTGTGTGGGAGGGAATGGTTGCAAGGAGCCCTTCCCCACCTCACTCAGGGCCCTGTGCAGAGGTGAGGGACAATCCCTGTCTTTGTGTTCAGAGAGCTCAGTTGTGCAAGGTGCTGAGCTACTCATGGTGCTAAGCATTCTCAACTCTCCCTGAACTTAATAGGAGCTGAAGGCACTCAGCACCTTCAGGAATGGTTCAGCACCTTGTAGGATCAGGCTCCAGGAGGACAAGGACTGCTCCAGGATAATGACTATAGCTGTCAGTGTCCCCAGAGGGGATGGAAGGAGGTACGCCTGGACCATGGCGCCATCACCCACTAGCCAGCACATGAAGAGCATGCGATACCCCCTCACAAAGCATGTAATAGTGCCTGTACTGCTGCCCTCTAGTGTGGGCTGTGATTTGTAGCCTCCAATTAATCCTCTTAATAATAGGCTAGGTGTCTTTAATTTGACCACTTTTTAGGATCTGGTTCAGAAATGAAGAAATGTTGGACGTAAGGGCCTGATTCATTTCTGACTGAAGTGAATGGGAGTTTTGACACTGCAATCAATAAAAAATGGATGTGGGATAAACTCCATTTTGGTGTTTTAAACAACATGTTGTGAGCAAAGGAAGTTCGGAGGAGTAGCAAAGATTGGAATAGTCATTTTACATTGTACAGACAAAAGCAAGCCTGTAAAAGACCAGGGTGTAAGCAGTCTGGCTTAGTGGTTACTGCGTGGCTCGTGTCGCAGAGTCCAGAGATGGCTATGAGGCGGTGGTAGGTGAGCAGGGATCAGAGTAGTTGTGAGGGCCAAAATCAGCAGGCAAGAATAAGGTCAGAGTCAGGCTGGGGTCAGAGCAAGGCAGCGCCGAGACAGTCCAGGTCTGGAGCCACAGCAAGCCAGAAATCTGCACGGTTGCCCAGATAACTTCCTGAGCCATGCTCCTGGATTAAATAGTAAATATAGGCCAAGCAGAGGGCCACAGGATGTGGTCACTTTTGCTCCTTTGGGTGGTACTTTCTGAGGTGCCTAATCTCCACGGTACTCCTTGGATGTGGCTCTGCCTGGCCTCCTGGTGGTGACATGAGACCATCAGTTACCCTGCAGACCCGGTTCTAGTCCCAAAGATCTTTACATTACCTCCATCTTTCAGGGGTGCCTTTTCTTCAGATTGGGGCTAGGTCCTGATGAAACCAAGGAATTCGATGCAATAATAATGTTGCCGGTTTATTATATAAAAGCATGCTCGGCCAAAAAGATGATCCACCTTGACATATCTTCTGTCATATATTGTATATGTATCCTTATTTGTTAGCTATTTAATTGTGCACTATTTGTGTTTAAAGACAACTCAGTGTTATTGAATTGTGCTGGATTGAAAACCTTGGAAGCTGAAGTTCTTTATCCACAGACTAGTTATAGCATGGATAGTGGAAAAGTGTCTTTGCCGAGCTGTTCTGCCACTATGCCTACACCCTAACTTGAAGAGACCAATTCTAGTAAAAAGGCTTTTTTGTTTTCCTTGCCAATTCAGATGAGTTGACCTATCTTGAGATGGCCAAAAGAGCTGCAAATTAAGGTCAGTTGTAGTGGTGACTTTTCTGATGTGAATTTCTGCACAAGTCAATTAATTACAAATCACTTGGTGATCATGAAGGTTTAATAAAAGTATATTTCTGTAAAAAAAGAACAAAAAACCAAAACACTTTATTTCCAACAACAATAGTATAAGGTACACAGAGTAACATGAGCACCTCAGTGTCTCTCATCTCCAGTTTCAGCTGTTCCAGCGGCCACGTGATTCCTTTAGATGTGTGTCTTCAAATAAAGGAAGAGCCTCAGGCAATTTATTTATGCAAATGTTTAACTCAGGTGCCATATGTTAGAACGTAGGGCTCTATGCCTAATCCAAAGGAAGATCTGCAGGTGCTGCTTTGGTGGAATGGGCTTTGAACCTCTCACATTGTACTGTGTGACCCTGGTTTGCATGCACACCATGTGTAGTACGATAAAGTGCCACTTCTCATGCTATTTCATCACACATCTTTCTGTGAATATAGACCCTCTCTACACCAGGAAGTATTCCTGTCAGCGCAAGCTCTAGTAAAATGTTTCCTGCTTGCTTTCCTTTCCTCAAAAAAAGTACGAGAGAACTTTAGAAACAGATAGAATAGTCTTATAGTTCTAGCAGCACAACTTTTCGGATAAATGATTTGAATGGGATTTGCTTTGTATCCAGTGGTGCAAGTAGAAATCATTTCTCATGGGAGAAACACAAGGGAGGGCACGTGACCTCCCCACGTGACCCTCCATGTGACTCCTGCCCACCCCTCCCTCAGCTCAGGATCCCCAAACTCTCCCCATCCCCTCTGACACCCCCCTTACCTGTCTAAAATTTTACAACTGCATCTGTGAAACACCTGTACTTCCAGGTGTCATGAGGATCCAGAAGCACCCCAAATTGAAAACTTCTTAAATGAACGAAGGATAGGAAGGACAATCACCCCACTTTCCCTTAACACACTATTAGTGCCTCCCTTATGTCCAAACTAAGCTTCTGCCAGCTTGCCTTTATCTAAGTATTGCTCTCCACCAGGCTGTGCCATCTGGGTTTGATGGAAAAGAAGCATAGAACCGTGTGTGCCAAGTACATCTTGATAGAACTATAGCCCAAATTGTTGTATTATTTTCCTCAGCATGTCATACAGGAGGGGCAATCAAAATCAGCCTGGCAGAACATGCATGAGAACTGTCTCTGAACAGATAAGCAATTGATCAAAATCACATTCTTTGATCTCTTGGGGCCAAATCCTGTTCGCATTGAGATCAAAAGGAGTTTTCCTATTGAGTTCAATGGGAACAGGCTTTGACATTGGAGAGGAAAGAACAAAACCACTCAAGCAAGGGCTATGTTGCTTATATCACAGGTATCAAAGGCTGCTGACTCATGTGAGAAAGTCAGCAGATATCTGATCTTTGTCCATTGCAAGGGCAAAATCAGCAATCAATGAGTTCTAGAACAGTCTCTGTACCATATCCAACTCGTAAGTCCATCTGCAAAGGATCAGGGAAATATGAAGTCTCCAGATTACCTTTAAGTCTTTAGTCCCTTGGTTAGAATGCTCCCATTATTATATGTTCATAGTCCAGAGGCTGAAGCAGGAAAGAGGCAAAATGGATATGTTTCCAGGCCAGGGCCTTTTAGCTTCTGCCAGGTGCCAAGTAAAGGGAAATCTTTTCTCACTGTGAACGATGGTGTTTGGAGTCACATGGGTAAGTTACATGTTCATCACCCTCACCCATATTCTAGTTAGAACATTCACAAAAAGTCCGTTAAGTGTAGACAGGCGTTTTCAGGGTCCATTGTGATCTAAGTGTTCCTTAATGGGCCATTCATCTTGACTTGTCCCTTCGTATGTTGGCTAAATACCTTGTGGGCATTACCACAGGAGCAAACATGTAGTAAACATAGCTAATATTCATAACTGCAGATACCAAGATGAATATACATGTATAGAAATAGCATAATCATAAGTACCAGCTATTTCACCTACATGACTATTCCCAGAAGAGATTCTGAAAAATCACACCATGTACCTGAGACCCTATGTGCCAGCACCATGCCTCACAAGAGCTTTGTTATCTGTTATGTAACAACAGAGATGGAACCAGTGACATAACTCCATTTATCTTAAAAGGGAAAGGTTAATTTTTAACTGTTCAGGTGTGACTGCACCTTTAGTCATTGAGGGCATACTGGCTGGCACACATTCAGGTTAATGGGCTTCAGTGTTCCTTAGCAGTTAACTTTTTAATGACAGGTTTCAGAGGAACAGCCGTGTTAGTCTGTATTCGCAAAAAGAAAAGGAGTACTTGTGGCACCTTAGAGACTAACCAATTTATTTGAGGATGAAGTGAGCTGTAGCTCACGAAAGCTCATGCTCAAATAAATTGGTTAGTCTCTAAGGTGCCACAAGTACTCCTTTTCTTTTAACTTTTTAATGTTCATAAACCTTATGTGCTGAGGTGGTTTAAAGCATAACA